GGAGACAGTTAAGGGACAATCGATGTACCGTCTCCCTAGGCTGCCGCCGACGCTCCTCTGCAGCAGCAGCAGCAGCAACAGCAACAGCAGCAGCAACAGCAACAGCAACGGCAGTAACAGCAACAACAATAGCAGCAACAATAGCAGAAGCAGCAGCAACAGTGACAACAACGATAGCAGCAACAGCAGCAACAGCAGAAACAGCAGCAGCTATGAGGGAGAACACCAGCAGCTGCAGCAGCAGCAGCAGCAGCAGAAACAGCAGCAGCAAAGAAGATGGCGTAAAGGAGGAGACAGCAGCAAAGGAGACAGTAACCACAAAGGAGACAATTTGCTGCTAAAAGGAGACAGTACTCTTCCCTCTATAGGAGACAGTCTCTTATCTGATGGGGACTGCAGCAGGAGCAGCAGCAACAGCAGCAACAGCAGCAACAGCAGCAATAACAGCAGCAGAGGAGGAGACTTTCTCCTATATGATGGATACAGCAGCAGCTATAATAGACAAGGAGACACTTTGCTGCAGAAAGAAAACAGCAACAGCAGCAGCAGCAGCAGCACGAGCAGCAGTAGTTTGCTGCTGCAGCGCAGCGGAGGAGGAGATACTTCTTATTATTATGACGAAGACACCCATGTGTCTCCTTATAGCAGCAGCAGCAGCAAAGTGTCTCCTTATAGCAGCAGCAGCAGCAAAATGTCTCCTTATAGCAGCAGCAGAGGATCTCCATTTAGCAGCAGCAGAGTACCTCCTTTTAACAGCAGCATCAGCAGCAGCAGAGCAGCAGCAGCAGCAGCAGCAGCAGCAGGACAATCAGATAGTGGGGAGACAGGAGACAGCTCAATAGAAGGAGAAATAGATAAACGTTTTGCTGCTAAATTAAGGAGACTGTCCCTTAGGTTGCATCAGTTGCTGCTGCAGCAGCAGCAGGAGGAGACAGTTAATCAGTCCCCTAGGCGTCTCTTTTCTTCTTTATCTCCTCGTTGTCCTTCTGCTGCTGCTGCTGCAGCAGCAGCAGCAGCAGCAGCATCATCATCATCAACAGCAGCAACATATGCAGCAGATGCAGCAGGAGAAGATGCAGCAACAGCAGCAACAACAGCAACAAACAGCAGCAGGAGAGACACACCAAGAAAAGGAGACACTTATACACCCCATAGGAATGCACACTTTGCTGCTATTGCTGCTGCACTAGATGATTTATTAGAGGATGCTAATCTTGCTGCAGCACAGGTAACTAAATGCAGCAAGCAGCAAAAGTGTCTCCTTTTAGCAGCAAATGTGTCTCCTTTTAGCAGCAAATGTGTCTCCTTTTGCTTCTTGTGTCCCCTTTGTGTCTCCTTTTGCTGCTAAGGAGACACCGACCTGCATCTTCGTGTCTCCTCTCCATATGCACTGTCTGCCTCTGCTGTTTGTGCTGCTGCTGCCGTTCCTGCTGCTGCTGCTGCTGGTGCTGCTGCTGCTGCTGCAGTCTCACAGGAGAAGCGCTGCAGCATCAAGGCAGAAGCAACAACTGAACTGCGCCCTTGATGAGAACGAAAGGCTCGTAAGTCTCAGCAGCAGCAGCAGCAGCAGCAACAACAGCAGCAACAGCAGCAACAACAACACCAGCACCAGCAGCAGGAGTATGCGTGATGCTTATTTGTGCCTTCTTAATAGTGTCTCCTTTTGTCTCCTTTTGTCTCCTTATCTCCATTATCTCTTTTTCTCTATTCCTTTGCTGTTTATCCCTTCCTGTCTCTGCTGCTGCTGTTGCTGCTGTTGCTGCTGCTGTTGCTGCTGTTGCTGCTGCTGCTGCAGCTATCAGAGAATCGCGGTCTATCCGAGCAGCTGCGCTGCACTGAGCAGCAGCTAGTTAACGCAACAGCACAACTGCAGCAACTATATAAATATAAGGTATTTATTACTGTCTCCTTTTTTATTTATACTGTCTCCTTTTTTTATTTATACTGTCTCCTTTTTATTTATAGTGTCTCCCTCTTTGTGTATTAGGGTTTGTTTATTAAGAAACTAATTAGGGTTTATGAGGGTTTACACTAGGGCTTATGCATTAATACAATAAATTCTTGTTCATGGTTTAGGGTTTATGGGCTGTTAAGGTTCAGGGTTTAGGGTTTAGGGTTTAGGGTTTAGGGTTTAGGGTTTATTTGTTTAGGGTTTAGAATGATCAAGAGATGTTTTATACAACAAAAAATAAAGAAAAATGTTAATTTTTATTGTTTAGGGTTTTTTAGTGTTTAGGGGTTTTTAGGGTTTAGGGTTTAGGGTTTAGGGTTTAGGGTTTAGGGTTTAGGGTTTAGGGTTTAGGGTGTTTTTTTTTTTTTTTTTTTTTTTTTTTT